AAGAAGCGGCTGGTTGTACAGGAAAGAGTTTAGGTCCAGTCACTCTCTCTTAGAGAAGAGCAAGCCCCAGCCTCACCTGGCTGATTTTCCAGAGTGAGATCTTGAGATCATTTTGGACAATGCTGGTTGATGCGCCGATATTTTAGTATTTCCTTCAGAGGGGAATTCAAATGCTGTCATGCTTGTACTTTGAATCCATCTTGGGTACCTTGAGCCTCCAAGTTCTCTAAGAACTTGCTCCTCTATCAAAACAAATCCAAAAAATTCTCCTAATAGCTTTTGTTTAGGTCAATAACATTTATTAATGGGTCAGGCCCTGTACTAAATTATGAGAATGCAAAATCTAGCGAAATTATTCCTATTTTCAAGTATGCATAGCCTTAAAGAAGGCAGATGAAAAAATTACAACAAAATGCATGTATAATACAGATATGTACAAGACTCAGAAGCATTCAAAAATGACTCTGTTCAGTCAGAGATTACAGTTTGCAAACTATGAAATAAATGTTTTTTTATTTAACCAGAATATTAAACTTAGGGTCCAAATAAAAACACTGAAGTCTAATTAGCAGATGTCATGACAAAAGATAACATGGTCATCACTCCTAAAATTGTGTAAGTTGATATAAAATTGCAGAAGAAGATGTTATATTATGAAAACTGAAAAGCATTTATGGGGGGACGGCCAGAGGAAAAGTTTGGAAACTAAAAGGAACTAAGTTAAAATTCCAGCTCTGCCACCTATGCTGTGTGACTTTAAACAAGTTTTCTAACCTCTGCAAGTCTGAACTTTTTTCATTTAAGAATGGGGTAATAATAACTACCATACTGAGTTATTCTGAGCATTAAATGAAGAAAAATATGCAAAGCACCTAGCACATGATAGATATTCAGTAAAGGCCGCTAATTTTTTTCCTCAAAATATAATCTCACTTGTCATCTATTTTATTCTAATCACCTGTAATTACGTAACTGTGGTAAGTTGACTAGAGTGCTCTCCTAGGGTGGGATTTTAGAGCCTTTCTATAATGGAATTCTATCCTATTTCTCTTAGTACTTCTCAAAACTATCCACAGTAGTTTGGGTGTATTACAAGCTTTTTACACACATCCTGTTTTACTAAAATGTGTTGCAAAATGTCTTAAAACCCAAGCCTAGTTGGTAGCAAAAATAGTCAGAAAACAGATAAGAAAAAAATCCTGTTCAATAATGGAATGTAAAATGAATAGAAAAATGCTAGTATCCTGACAGGTTAAAGTGTTCTGGTCACAAAGACACTGATGGGATTATGAGAAGTCCCCTGTTACTAAAAAAGCTAAAGCTTAGCAGTTAAGAGGTTTCTGAAGGCATATTACTGCTCCTTTTTACAAACTACCTCTAGCATAAATTATGGCTATTTTAGAGTCATGTCAAATAGTGTCAATTTTTAAAAAAATTAAAATAAGATGTCTTTTTAAAAAAAGTACAGAAAGCATGTAGATGAGGCTACAATAGACTTCTTCTGTTAGCAAGATAACACTTGCATTTTTATATTTCTGTTGTTGACAGAGGGCGCATGCAAGCTATGAAATAAATGTTTTTTATTTACCTACTAAGGGAATGAAGTTGAATTGTGCTTGCCTTTAAATATTAGTCTGTTCCTCAGTTTTACCACCTCAAAAATAGGAGAATAAACCCTTCCTATTGTCTTTCTCCCAGAAATGATCTAAGAATAAAGTCTCACATGAATACCTTTGAACACTTCATACAAAAATAAGCTACTTAAATTCAGGGTCCACTTTATCACATTGCTGGGAAATTCCCAAGTGGGTCATATATTAAGCAGATAAATATCTTGCTGTATCTTATATGTGACTTCCTACGTACCAAAACAGGCAAGCAAACGAACAAAAACCTGTCATCTTGTTGCTCTTAACTTTGGCTTCTTATAGAGTTCTTTCCCCAGTGCCACACTGCCCCATAGGTAGCCACTACCACTTGTGCCTATTGAAATTTAAATTTTAATTAAAATGAACTAAAACTAAAAATTCAGTTCCTCAGTCCTACCAGGTACATTTCAAGGGCTGAATAGCCACCTGTGACCAGTTGCTGCCAAGTTGGACAGAGAGAACATTTTTGTCACTACAGAAAGTTCTATTGGAGGGTGGTGGCCCTGAGGGTACTCAGGCTGAATGCTTCCGTGTTCTGTGGCCTTAAGCTAGCCATTGATAACATTTCAAAGATTAAATGACCTTAGAAGTTATGAGAGGACTTCAAAATCACATCAGTGTCAGACTCAGGGAAAGCCAGAAGTAAGTGAAGAGGAATTAAATAGGTAATAAAAAAGAAAGAAGAAATGATAACCAGAAAAAGAATACACACTAACTTTATTATAAAAGAATAAAAAGTGGTTCAGGAATTCAGTGCTTCTGCAGAAGTACAATTTTACTTAAAACATTTGTCACACATTTCTCAATGTGTAGCATCAATCTTATGCTGACTTTCTGATGTCCTGATTGGGTTTTGAGACGTTCCAGCTGAAATCACACAAAAACTATTTTTCAATATTGTGATGAAATTTAACCCCCCTTCTGTACACCATATGTTTAAAATACATATTTTCCTCTTAGAGGGGTCAGCAGATGCTATGGAAATACTTGCAATTCTTGTTCAGAAATTTTATATTTATCTCTGTCTGGACCACTTGAATTCACAAGGAGTTTTCATGCTTATCAATATTTTGGCTTCTACTTCCTGTACAAAAAGGAATTATAACTTAGCATAGGTGTTATTTGTCCTCCAAAGTAAGAGAATAACATCCGTATGCTTTCATTTAGGTCATTCTGTCCATTGAAGAAGGCTACAGGCTTCCGGCTCCCATGGGCTGCCCGGCATCTCTACACCAGCTGATGCTCCACTGCTGGCAGAAGGAGAGAAATCACAGGCCCAAATTTACTGACATTGTCAGCTTCCTTGACAAACTGATCCGCAATCCCAGTGCCCTTCACACCCTGGTGGAGGACATCCTCGTGTAAGATGCATGATGTTGATTTTTCCCCCTTGATAATCATAATTTCTTTCGGGCTGTGGACAAGACTAACAGAGAGGAGAAAGTTTGCCTTGATAACCATCTAGTTGTCGGCCTTTTAGATAATTGTGTATAAACCATATTTTATTTTACAGCTGAAAAGGCCATTTATTAACATTTTTAGAAAATTGACTTTTTTACCCACAAGAAAACAGATTCCCCTTCTCTTTTCTCCATACCTAATCTTTCTGAATTACTTTCTTTATACTTTTCCCATGGGGGGGGTGTCTTTGGTATTTATATATCCTTTGTGTTTACTGATGCTTCCTTACCTTTATAAGCAGGCTGTGTGCATGCCTGCAGCCCCTTTAATTTTCTTGTCCATTCATTTCTTGTCCCTCCATTTGAAATGGCAAGCAAGACAGGGGTAATTTGTGAATCAGCCAGGAGCAAGGATGTTTCCTGACGGTATGATCACACCCAGCTGTTGTTACTTTCCATTCCTAAAACCAGAGAAAGGCAGATGGCAAGAGAAGAAAATGAAGGCACTCGTTCACCATTTTATAAAAGTCAGTAGAGTTGAAGAGATCCACTCACCTCTCTCTGAAAAATAATTTTAAGGGGAAAAGTATAAGTAAAAACTACTATCATCTAGGTCTGAAAATATTACATTTAAAGTATTATTAAGTTGAAAATATATTCCTTTATTTAGGCCAAATTGGACTTAAAAATAACCAAACCATTTCCAAAGCTCACTTTCCTGACTCAGGGCATGAACAACAGGATATACAGTTGTTCAACTTTAGGTCACAGGTTCAAGTCAATGCAGGTTCTTGGTGTCAATAAGGCCAAGGCTCTTCAAGGACTTGAGACAGTGCTCACAGCAGAGCACATAAGAGTTCACCTCTAAATCACTAACTGGCAGCTTCAAAAATGAAGTCAAGCATGAAATAGCCAGAGAATGAACTATTACTCTATCCCATCTTCCCTAGAGCAGTCCAACACAGGAAGCAACAAAGTGGGGGTGGGGGGAGGAGGGAAGACCCCCTGGATTTTATCATAAAAGCAATGGGCAGCTATTGAAGGGTTTTTAACAAGAGAATGCTTTCTGAAAGATCACTCTAGGGGTGATTTAGACTGGGAGTGGGAAAGCGAGGAACAAAACTAGAAACAGAGACAGTTATATGTTTGCAACAATCCAAGCTAGGGAAGAGCAGGGCCTGACTTACGAAATGGAAATAAGCTTGAGGTCAGGAGCGAAGAAAATTGATTTATTATTAGGCAAGGAAGATGAATGTGTCTTGATCACTGGTTGAATATGGAAGGAGGAGAAGAGAAAAGAATCAAGGATATTTGTCAAGTTTCTTTCTTAGACAAGCTGGTTGATGGTATTACCACTAAGAGAAAGAGGAAGAAGGACAAGTTTGGGGAATAGAAATGAAACCATTTCAAGCATGCTGAATTGAAGATGCCTGTAGGGCATCTAAGTGCAGATGTCCTATTAGCAGTTATATTTATAGATTCAACCTCAGGAGAAAAGATCTGGGCCAGAGATGTAGATTTAAAGATCATCAGCATATAGATTGTAGCTAAAGGCTTGAAGTGTAGTTAAGATAACCCATGGAGAATATAAGGAATGCAAATTAACAGGAAAAGAATGGAACACCAAGATTCAAGAAATGAACTGAAGGAGAGCACCCATCGGAGACTGAGAAACAGGAGCCAGACAGGTAATGAGAAAGCAGGGAAAGAGCAGTATCATACTATAGAAGCCCAAAAGGGAGAGAATTTCAAGGAGTATAATGTCCAAGGCCCCACAAACCTTCGGTAAGATAAAAAGGGAAGTCCATTGAATATAGCAACAAGGTGCTCAGGTGTTCATGGGCAGCCTTTGCAAGAACATTTTCAATAAAGTTGTTTAACATAGATTGCAACGGAGGAGGAGTGAACATAAGGTCAAAGAGAAGAGCAACACAAAGACCAAGTCCAGTACTGTTTTTATCAAGAAACCTGTCTCTGGAGAGAAAGAGAGGTAATTAGGGAAAATGTCTCTTGGTTTTTGTCTTTATATGTGTTATTGAAGAGACAGGCATGTCTTCTCATAACATTGAGGAGAAAGAGCTCGTAGTAAGGGCTCATGGCATGAGTCTGCATTGATGGAAGAGAACAATGGTGCCTATAAACTGAAATCATTTAATCCGGGCTTCTTGTTACGGTATAGGGTTAACGGACCCCACAGCCAGTGCCTATCAGCAGAGCTCTCTAACTGTTCTATGGCTGTACAAGCAGGCAGGTAAGAGCCTTCTTTTTGAAGAAAAGCAGATCAAATCATTTCTTCCCTGCTTTTTCAAGATTATGAATGTTGGTTGTATTTCAAAAACACTGATGAAGAATCTAAGACGAGAAAATGCCAAAAAGTCAAAATGATCAGGAGGGAAAGTCAAGATAAGGGCTGATGTCTGAGGGCCAGAGGCTTATGGTTGAACGGAGTGTGCAGTAATCAGCGGACAGGCCAATGAATGGCAGGCTCTGTGACAGCACCGTCACACGTGGGCCAGGAGTTGGGGACTGTATATACAGAGGCTGCCAAAAACATGTATACACATCTTAAGAAAATAAAAACTGTATTAAAATTGTAATACTCAATATATACTGATAACAAAAGATGAACACATTGACTTCTGCAATTACAAGAGGTACTCAAAGTGGTTACCATCAGCATAATTTTAATACAGTTTTTTCCCTTCTTAAAATGTGTATACATTTTTTGGGGCACCCTTTGTAAAGTTGGCCTTTTGATCCAATCCTCCAATCTATCTCTGGGAGACCAAATGGAAACTGGTGATTGATTTGCTATCCTTGTTTCTGACAAAGAACTATGCTACTGTTCTTGCCCTTAATATCCTTTTGTTAGAGAAACAAAAGGAACCAGAGTTGTAAGGGTACCATGCCTGAACCTTTGTCAGGCATGTTTTGACATTCTTGTTTTGACAGTAGCCTGGATGGGTTCCTATTGTCTACTCCCTTTCTCCCAATGCCACCCACTCACCCTGTCTCTGATTCCAGAGAACCGAGACTGTTTATGGAGAAGAGACATAGTAGATTAAAGGATAGCAATGTTAGCTAAAGAGTGCCTGGCCTGTTTTATATTTACAAAACTGGGAACTGCCCCTCCATCCCCCAAGTCCCAAGTCCGGTAGTTTGTCCCAGAGTGATACTGGATTAAGGAAGCATGACAGAGTATAGAATTTCAGCATTTGCGCCCATGTAGCTCTCACACAGGTAAAGGGGTCTAAGTGTATAATCCACAGCTACTCATTAAACTCCCCTGCAACCCCCTTTTCTCTACTCTCCCCAACTCCAAGGGTTCTCCAGGGTTCTCTCACACTTCTACGCTGATATAACTTTCTCATCCGCTAGGTCCCCGTGCTTTTTATTCTACTCTAATTCCTTTTTTCTCAAGAATTCACCCAAGAAGCTTTCATCCTTTCTCTTGAGAGCATAGTAAGGGGGGAAGAGATTAAGGCAACAAAGGCATATGAGGAAGGCTGGGAAACCCACAGCTTAATAATTTCGTACTAGCATATTAGAGATTTCATAACTTCATATCTGTAATCTTTCTTATCAAAAGAAAGATCACCCAATAGAAATAATGTTGGTCAGAAAAGGCTTTCATTATTTGGAGCAGCCACTCCAAATAATGCTGATAGTCTTGTGCCTGACAGGCTCCCGTGGAGCATTCAGAGCTCTGTGCAGTTCCCAACCTTCTTGCTTTCTCTCCTACTCAAGAAGGCATGTGGATAGATAAGTGAACATAACGATGTTTTAAGTACAACCTTAAATCCAATTGATTGTAAAAAATAATTTTGCAAAAGTGCCTTAATAACATAGGCAGCCCTTAATAAATGTGAATTTCAAACTATCTTCACTTTCATGTATTCTTCAATGATGCCTTATAACCTTCTTTCAAAGAATTATTTGTAGCTGTCACATGATGCATAGCTCCTGGGAGAAATGGCCCAGCTTAAGGCCAAGGCTACATGGACAATGGCTTCAGGAGCAGTGCCTGGCCACGGCCTTGAAACACCTCTTGCTCCCTCTCCCCTGACCCTCGTAATCAATTCGGTAGCTACTCTCAGCCCCAACTCAAGCATACGCCCATGGAGTCCAGGGTTCCATCTGGTGACCAGTTGTTTAATAACACAAAATGAGTTTAGGATTATATGGTGTCCATTCACTTAGCCCTACCTCCCCAGCCCCACCTACATTGTCCTACACATTCATTCTCCAACCTCTTCCACCCCATCCCTGATTCCTCCACACACTGCAGCCTACTAAGTGCACCAAGTTGAAATCAGCTGGCCAATGCCCTTTCAGCCAGTGCTGCAGTATAATGGGAAAATAACACTTTCCTCCAATCCCTACTCCAGGTCCCCAGAATGTCACTGTCAAAGAATTTTACAGATTATGGGCTCCTTGACAGCATCAGCTGAAAGGTGGAATCCAGGGCATGGGCATTGGTTGACCAGATAGACCCTGCTTCAAAGTCTGTGATAGTCACCTGTCTCAGAAATGATGTTCTGCTCAGGCCAAGGCACTAGGAGTATTCCCACTACCCACTGGGCTGTAGTTCAGGATCTTATAATAGCTTAGGTCTTAGGAACTGGAACTACCAATTTCCATAGTACATATAAATCTATTGTTGAACTTTTAAGTACTTGGCTTCCAGCAACATGTGAATCATAAAGGTAGGAGAAAGCTCAAACCAGTATCTTAATTCAGAACTTCCGCTTTAAAGAACCACTGGTTAACATGATGAGACTACATGGTACTGCCTCTCTCCATCCAGTTAATATACCACCTATAATTCTGTCTTCTGAGGGCAAAAATTTGATAGAAATTTTTCCATTCATTTTGAAAAGATCTTGCTCAATGCTGCCTAGGCAATATGTAATCAGCACTTGCTAAATTGTTTATCTGCTTCGGTATTCTTCTCAAGACCACATTTTGACAACCATTGTTAATGAATTCTAGTTGGCATATGATATGAAATCTATTTCTGTCCCGGTATTATTTCCTCACAAAAATAGGCTTTTCCTGAGGTTCAGTAATCTATTACTCTGGCTATAGGGACCATGAACTGGACACTCAGCATTATGGGAGGTTTTTAAACAGTATTATTTCTACTCTGCATCTCTTCCTCCTAATGTTCAAGCACACCTAAAATTTTAAATTTTGCTTTAAATTTTATTGCTTCATGCTTTCCATCAATTATCAACCTTACTCTGATAATTAAATAATCATATCAATGAAAAAAAAAACCTGAAGACTTTCTGAAGATAAAAGGCTGACAAAAAATAATTCATGCTGCCAATTTAACACTGTGGAGAGTCAGATTGTTTGGATCAAAATGATATTTCCCACATGCATAAAGAGTCACAAGATATATGGCATGGCATCTGGATTTTATAACATTTTTGAGTAAAATTACACTTCAAAAATGTTAAATATAAAAATTCTCACATTAATTTAACTCGTGTTCAAGTTGACTATTAAGCTTAATTGCAGAGAGGGCAATGTTTTCTTTTTTATCTGATTAAATAAATCCTTCAAAGGTTAGGTAGGAAATATATGTATTAGGAGATTATTTTATGGATTAACTAAATGGTGTACTGTGTAGTCCCTGAGTCATGAGATGAGAAACTCATGTAAAAGCAGTGATATTGAATAACGTAAAAATAACAACACAAAAATAAAAAAGAAAAAGAAAAAAAAAAGAAAATGAATAAGGTAAATGCTGTTGTTGTGGTCCTAGGTCCCTTCACCCTGTGCTACCTCACTTCCCTGTAACTGCCTTTTCCTCCACTCTGAAACCTATAAAAACAGAGCTAAGCAAATGCTTTCACAATGCAAGGAGTAGATTAAACAGCATATCCATTAATAGACCGACCATTGCGTCAATAGGCACTTACTCTTCCATTTAATAGAATTAAATGAAAATATATTATTCAATACAAATCAGCCATTCTGTCATGGACCAAATTTCTGTAAAGAATATTCAAGTGTAAATAATCACTTTTTTAATGAATTCCTGTAATACTGTCAGCATTGTGCTAAGGCCTACAGGAAATAGAAAGATATGTGAGATGTGGTTCCTGCCATCAGGGAGTTTTAACTTACTCTTTAAGAAATTTTCTTTTCTGTCTTATGGATTTTTCTCAAGAAAGTAATTCAGCTGGAGCAAAAGGGTACATGCTCTAAGATTGTATAATCATCTGTAATAAAAGAATGTTGTTAGTAATCTAAAAGTCTAATTTCATGGAATTAATAATTATTAAACATTAACATATACACTACGAGGTCTGCCAATTAAGTTCACAAACTTGTTGCAATAATGTCGCTAACCTTTTTTGATAGCAGAGGGATTGTTCATTATGAATGTGTACCAACTGGACAAACAATTAACCAAGTTGACTATTTGGAAGTGCTGAAAATGCTGCATGGAAAAGTTAGACAACCTGAACTTTTCACCAACAATTCATAGCTCCTGCATCACGACAATGCATCAGCTCACATGGCACAGTCTGTGAGGGAGTTTTTAGCCAGTCAACAAATAACTCTATGGGAACACCCTCCTTACTCACCTGATCTGGCCCCCAATGACTTTGTTCTTCACCCTATGATAAGGAAATATTGAAAGGAAGACATTTTGATGACATTCAGAACATTGAGGGTAATATGACAACAGTTCAGATGGCCTTTCCAGGAAGGGAGTTCCAAAATTGCTTTGAAGGGTGGACTAAGCACTGGCATCAGTGCATAGCTTCCTATTGGGAGTACTTCTAAGGTGACCATTGTGATATTCAGCAATGAGGTATGTAGCACTTTTTCCAAGATGAGTTCACAAACTTAATTGTCAGACCTCATTTTATATACTCATTTGAATAATAGTTATGAAGACTGTTGAAACATGCAAAATATTTATAAGTATGTTAAATAAAGGGAATATAAAATAGAAATGCCCACTGTACAGTTCTGCTAATCATGTGTAAATAAGAGATGTGATCAAACAATATGGTGAATGTTTAAATTTTAAAAATTTATTACAGTAAAAGACACATTGCCATTAATCACCCTCAAAATATGCCCCCTCACTTGGAACACACTTATCCCATAGTTCTTGCCACCTTTTGAAGCAGTTCTGGAAGTTCTCTTTCGTGAGTGTCTTTAGTTGTGCTGTCATGGCTGCCTCAATGTCCTGAATCATTTTGACTTTGGGGAAGAGCAAGAAATGGCACGGTGCCAGATCTGGTGAATAAGATTGATGACACACCATAATGTTTATATTTGACAGAAATTACCATACCAGAAGCAAAGTGTGACATGGAGCCTTTCTGTTTTGATCACAAAATACGGCAAATGCTGCTGCCGTGTGCCATCCAACAGAAAGGCAGGGATCTTCAATATGGGAAGCTGTGCATCCAACCTCAGTAACAGTGGGTAACAAGTTTCAACTTGTTTGGTGTGGTTGGTTTGGTGTGATCTATGGTTGAGAGAAGGTGTGTTTTAAAGTGTGCCATAAATCATCCTCCATCCTAACAATGCTCCGTGTTACACATTGCTATCTGGTATGCAGCAATTTCTGTCAAATAAGAACATTATGGTGTGTCCTCATCCACTTGGATCACCAGATCTGGCACCATGCGACCTTTGACTCTTCCCCAAAGTCAAAATGATTCAGGACATTGAGGCAGCCACGACAGTGCAACTAAAGACACTCACAGAAGAGGACTTCCAGAACTGCCTTAGAAAATGGCAAGAACAATAGGATAAGTATGTTGAAGCAAGGGGAGTATTTCAAGGGTGATTAATGGCAATGTGTCTTTTACTATAATAATTTTTTTTCAATTTAAACACTCACAGTATTGTTTGATCAAACCTCGTATAAGAAGCTAGGAAAAAAGAAGTTAATGTTAGAGTAGAGTAGTATGGGGAGAAAACCCTTTAAGCATGTCATGGTTTTCTATTAAAACAAGATCTTACCTTGCAATTGTTCTTCTCATACACTACTTTCTTGAATCATTTCTAATAAATCGACTACTATTATATTTACACAAGGAATATAAAACATGAAAAACTTTTGAGGATTAAAAATCTTTTTTTTAATGGCAGTTTTGATGCCTATTAATAACCTAAGAACTTTCTAAATCAAAAGATTGGTACTGTTGTGAACTCAAAGGGCTCATTAGGATAAAAACTTCTTGGCTCTATTAGTACTATTCTTTTTTACATATTTATGTATAGAAAGTATTATTTATTGCACCTTAAACTGTATCACTACTCATTCTAGCTATATTCCAGCCTTTTCTCTAATCTAAATTGACCATAATTTATACCTGGAATTTCCTAATTCTACTCCCTCCTCATTTATCTGAGGAAAGTAGTTGACCCTTGACCTTCTCTACTGCACTATGTATTTTTTTAAATGTGAGCTGCAGGTTTTGCTGTAAAGACATTTCTCAGGTGGGCAGCTCCCACTAATCACAAAGGAGCAGAAATTTCTACATGCTCAGCAAATAGCACACTGAATTTATCATTGTACATGGCTGATAAGAAAGGGCATTTATTGTTTATTAGGTAATATTCCAGAGAATTCATGTGAGGGCGATGGTACCCTGCCCTCAAAGCTAGAAAAAGGGCAGCATTTTTCAACTTCATGATAATATAAGGTGAAAGAAGAGTTATTGCACAGTGGCTGTGAACAATGAGGGGACCCTGACCTTACTACATCAACTGCCAGTGCAGTCATATAAAGGCCAAAGAATAACTAGGTTACTAAAGATATGTGGAGAGAAAGACGATTATAGTATTGAAACATTCTGGGAGCAAATAGTGGATGCTTTTCAACAGAGAAATAGTCCATTTAAGTCATTCAGTATACAGAATGACCTTCCATGATCTTTCTATACTAAGGACATAAAATTAGCAAATTACATTTCCACACACCAATAATATGAAATTGTGAAATCTCAAAAGTTATTCCAGCATTATCTCATGAGAGAGAGAAATGGAAGTCATCTAACTATGCCGTGCATGAAGAATGGAATAGGAGTATGAAGGGAAAATCATTTAAATACATTCTTTTAATTTTATTCTGTTTCAACAAATGTCTTTGACAAGTAATTAAAAGATATGAGAGCCACATTGTTTTAAAATAGGACATTCACTTTTCTTAATGTGTGATTTTGTTTGTTAGTAAGCAGTAAGGGTACCCTGGCCATTTTGATATTTAAACTAAGTCAAGTTACTACAGTAGTATTCCATAAAGTATGTTCCAAAGAAACTGGTCATATAATTTAGGAAAGCAATGTAGAAGCTATTATGAATCTTCTTATATATTCACATTGGACATTTGAATAGTGAAGACTCTGAGAAATGCTACAATTAAAAACCCTGTTTAACTCTGTTTTATATGGAGACCTTTATTATTTTGTATTTATTTATGAATTTTTATTTATTTGACAATACTTATGAATATGAACACCTCTAGGAAATGAAGACATATAGCAACAATTAAATTATTTACTGGTAGATGTTATGATAGCTTTTCAACCTTTGGACATGATTAATCTTTGTTTAAGGTCAAATCATGAATCATTCTGATATTAATTACAATGAAACAGCCCACAATCAAATAACATTGCAATGTATAGAACTAAAAAGAATGTGGCTTAACAGCCTCTGAAGTAAGAAATATGGTCACAAAATTGAGTAGTGGTAAAAAGGACACGGGTCACTGTTAAGGGTAACCAGACATAATATGCATATGAACTACAGTGTAATCACAAGATACATGTGTCCAGTTTATGCAAATTCCAATTTTATATAAACAGCAAAAACACCTGAATTTCCCTGTCTTCCCTCTTTACCCCCTTTTCCACCTTCAACCAGACCCCCCGTTTAGGAAAAGGGAAGTCAATCAATGCAGCGATAAAAAAAAAAAAAGCAAAGAAATGAATTGTAGGCCTTTAGTAGAGAGAGACTCTGTCATGAACAGTTCCAAGGGGCACCTTAGAGTCTTCGGGAGTCAGGCACTGTACAACTTGTATGGCTACGCATAACATCTCTGGCCATTGTGCCCCTAAAGACCCAGGTCCTGGTTACTTAAGGGGAGTTTAAAGGATTTTTATAAGTAATTTTGGTTATTAGAGATTCTCTTTTGATTTTGGCTTTAGGCACTGGACCTTTGAACCTAACTCCCACTCTCATAATTTTTAACAGAACAATACCAGAGTTATATAGAATGCATATGCCGTTCTGTTCACAGTGGCTTAATCATATGTGCTCATATGCTATTGGTTTCTAGTTAAAGCTGAAATAATTCAAATGTGAATGGTAAAAACATTATAATGATATATTTCAAATGTGAATGTTATAAACTATGGCTCCAGTTAAGCCTCTATGGATTCTTTCATTCTTTAACTTATAAATAATTAAAAGCAAAGTTCAGTGGTTCACTTCTAATGAGGAAGTTTTTCATTACTTAGAAAATACTGATTTGACTCAAACACCATTTTTTAAAAATTGTTACTGCTTTACTATTTAATATAGACTGTAGACCTCATAATTTTAAAAAATGATATATTTATTACCCTAAAAAGCTAATAAGATACTTATTAATACCAAGTATTTTTAAAGTACTTTTACTATCAAGTATTTATAAAACCATACAAAATATTGTTAAAATTAATTTACATGTGATTCTATAAGGAGAATAATATAGTTTATTGCCAGAATGGCTTATATACACAATTCTGAGTTATTTTTATTATAATTTCTAAAGTTAATTTTATTTTTTTCTCTCTGTCTGACTTTAACTTATACAAAAGTATTTTGTGTATATAGTATATATATATTTATTTACATGTAAGTACACATATATAGGTATGTATGTAGGTATACACACGCATCCCCTAGCCTTTCCAAAATAATAGCTTTACATTATTTTTATATTAAAACTATCCCCAACTGGAATGCCCTTTGCATCATATCTGAGAAATAATAATACAGATTCCTGTATCACTTACTTTAAAACCCATCAGTACTGGATTCCTTTATCTTGTTAACCCCACCTTGCATTGATTTTGCTTTGTTTTGTGCCTTATTAATATCTGTGCTGTGTGCTTATTATCTTATGCTTGGATGTATATAAATCTTATTTAGGCAATTGAGCTCTATGACAGCAAAAATTACTTTTTAAATAATAAATACTTGT